CCTCCCCTGTTTCAACTTTGTACGGGACCTCAATGAACACCGATCGAGATTTTCGATCTCTGAGTTCTATTGTGGGCTCGTAGGCTTTAAACGGTAGATTCTGGGCGTTGACGTCGGAGGATGCAACAAGGGTGATCGAGGGCTGCAGAATGAGCAGTAGCGGCGTTGAACAGTACCCAGTAAACTGCGTTGTGCGAGTTCAGTCGCTAAACAAACAGCGCGATCGAGACAGACTTGTTCATGCAATGCAATAAGGCGCGCAGTGGGTCGCGCGGCGACAGTGTACCAGCCGATGAACTCAAGTGAAGGAAACACCTGTTTGTCTAAAGGATAGTCATGAGATCGCGTCGAGACGTGGATGTGGAGATGAACGCACACTGATCGCGCCTGGAGACGAGGAACCCGTGGTCTACTAGTTCGCCGCCACTTTCGACGGCAAGTTCAAATGTATTCACAATATCTACCTCGCGGCCATTTTGCGTCCCCAGGAGAGCGCCAAGGACTGGGAGAGAGTTAAAATACGTCGGGAGCCACTAAGCTAGCTCACACACCAAAGGGGGAGTTGGTGTTGGTCTGCAGCTTTAATCTTGTCAAGTGTTCTGAGATGTTTAAGATCGGGAGAGGATGCCTGGGAAAAAGAATGTGTAGAGACGCGATTTGGGCGGTTCGGTAGATACGCACAATGAAAGCGAGAGTCCAGATGTTGTGGAAGACGGTAGCACGACCGGAAGTTCGTCAGTGTCCATTGCGCTCATCGTGGATTAGCGCAAGCGCGGCGTTTGTGTGACTCCTGCGAAGCTGTGCTGGATGTCACTTGCCTTGTCACTTTGTCTCACTTTGTACTCACTGGTCCTCGACGCCATTGTCTCGTTTTCGACGGCTCAAATTCATATCGCCTCTTGGAAAACGATCAAAGAGTCTAGGCCTCAAAGAAGGAAAGATCGCTGAGTCTATCTGACCACTTCTGGCGGCCTTTGCTCGATTCTCGATTCAGTCGAGCCGGGTTCAACAGAGAAATAGTCCTGCAAACTGTCTCTGTTGTTGTCTCTGTTCAGACAAGCACCGAGTTGGGATGACTCGATCTTAATTTACATTCAAGAAGGTAACGCCCCTGGACCCTTGTCCTGGCGTTCCCAGATTTTTGCAAGGAGAGTCACGAGAGGGCGATGAACGATTGGGGGGACATGCCATTCGAGGACACTGTTCCACTTGAAGCTTGGAGTGTGGCATACGGCTCGAAGGCCTCTCGGATTGCAGAATGATATTCTACTTGTTACTTGGCATGCATGGTAGGATCTAGTAGTACTTTACTTATCCAGTATCTAGATAATGGGCAATGTGACAGGGCGCGATTGGATGTGACTTAACGCGTTCTTCCCCACCACCGCCTCCCAATTGTGTCATGTCTGGCTTCGACGCGAACCAGGTCTTCACCGTTGCAGCCCATGATGCTCCTCCGGCGATATCCCCTGACTCGCCTTCTGAGACCGAGAAACTCTTGCTTGACTTTCTTCTCCAGTATCGCCTTGGTGGCGAGTTCCTCTACAGGTAGGAAGGTCGCCAATCCGATTTTTCAGTCTGATTGTAGCGCGTAGAGATAAACTTCGGGCCAATCTGCTTCTTAAACAACGTATCCTTGAAGTCGACCTCCGACACATCAGTTTATACAACGACGAGTTGGCTCACGCGATCCAGGACACTCCCGCGGACACCCTCCCCCTGGCGCGTGAATATGATTAGCCTCACGTTCTCTCCTCATTCTCTTTTCCAGTTTGAGAATGCAGCCACCAAAGCCGCGCGGTCAATCCTTTTCCCGCTCACAAGTGTGGGTCAAACAGACGCTGAGAAGAAGAAAAACGTGGAGGATGCTGCCGAGGCCATCCCTAGCATCCAAATCAACCTTCGCTCCGGCCTCAACATGCTGCAGTTTCGCGAGCTCACAGCGAATACTATGAACAAGCTCGTCCGCATTCCTGGGATCGTTATTTCAGCTTCTGTTTTGTCATCGCGCGCAACCAAACTACATCTCCAATGCCGGTCGTGTAGATCGACCAAGGACATATATCCTTCTGGTGGCATGGGAGGCGTCGGCGGCGGGTCGGACCGAGGACTGCCCCGTTTCTGCGATGCACCTGAAGTTGGAGGGAAGAAGAATGACTGTCCCATTGACCCGTACCTTATCGTTCACTCTAAATCCACTTTTGCCGATCAGCAGACGCTAAAGCTACAAGAGGCCCCAGACATGGTCCCCGTTGGAGAGCTGCCCAGGCATATGCTTCTATCTGTTGACAGATTTTTGACTGGGAAGGTTGTTCCCGGTTCGAGAGTCATCGCAACTGGGATATACTCGACGTTCCAGTCCGCTAAGAATGTGTGTTCTTTTGAACCAAACATACACAGTTGTTGACACTACATTCTAGAAAAATGCAGGTGCGGCAGCTCTCCGCCAACCCTACCTCCGGGTCGTCCATCTAGAATTATCATCCGGACCAACGAGCGGGTCTGGTTCAAATCCTTTCGGGGTCCAATTCACGCCTGAAGAAGAGGAGGAATTCGGAGCCATGGCAAGGAGCGAAGGCTTCTACGAGAGATTCGCCAAGAGTGTTGGACCAAGTATCTATGGCAGTCTGGGTAAGTCTATTCTCTCGATACTTGAGACCGCCCGCCCGTCCTGAAATGCGGACCAGACATAAAGAAGGCCATTACCTGTCTGCTTTTTGGTGGATCCAAGAAGATTCTTCCTGATGGCATGAGGCTTCGGGGTGACATCAACGTTCTACTACTGGGCGACCCCGGAACAGCTAAAAGTCAGTTGCTCAAGTTTGTCGAGAAGGTGGGTCTCTGTTTCGCTTCCTAAAGTTCTTGAACTTATCATAACCAGGTCGCGCCTATTGCCGTCTACACGTCGGGAAAAGGATCTAGTGCGGCAGGTCTCACCGCTTCTGTTCAAAGGGACACGGTCTCTGTAAGTCTCACGCTTATGGCTACCTCCAATCCGATCTCATTGGTTCGTCAGCGCGAGTTTTATCTCGAGGGAGGTGCCATGGTTCTAGCTGATACTGGTGTAGTTTGTATCGATGAATTTGACAAAATGCGCGATGAAGATCGCGTGGCCATCCATGAGGCCATGGAGCAGCAAACTATATCCATCGCCAAGGCTGGCATTACCACTGTCTTGAACTCCCGTACTAGCGTACTCGCGGCCGCTAATCCCGTGTTTGGGCGATATGACGAGGGGAGAAGTCCTGGCGAGGTACCAATCATCCACGGCTCGACACCCTGCAGACGCTCACTGGACCGATTCTAGAACATCGACTTCCAGACAACTATCCTATCACGGTTTGACATGATCTTCATCGTGAAGGATGAACACAATGAACAGCGAGACAAGGTGGGGTGTGGCGTGTACGGATTGCGCTCAGTATTAATATGTGTATTCTCAGATGATCGCTCGACACGTCATGAATACTCAGATGAATCGGCCGGAGGAAAACGTCGACAAGGCCGTTGGCGAGCTCAGTCTCGACGTTATGAAGCGATACATTGCGTACTGCAAGAGGTACGCCGATGTGAAAGATACGTGGTCATCGCTTGACGTTGTCGACTAGCAAATGTGCTCCACGGCTGTCAGCCGAGGCTCAGGAGATGTTGAGCAGTCACTTTGTCAGTTTGCGTAAGCAAGTACAGCAAGTCGAACGCGACAATGACGAACGAAGTTCGATCCCGATTACAGTACGGTATGTAATCGCAGAATTTCTTGGGCAACTGATTTCGACCGATCCCCAGACAACTTGAAGCAATTATTCGTATATCGGAATCACTGGCAAAGATGACTCTTTCAACAGTGGTTCAAAACCATCATGTGGAAGAAGCTATCCGTTTGTTCAAGTTCTCCACAATGGATGCAGTCTCTGCCGGGTCTGCTGATGGTCTCTCCCGAGGAGAGCTTAACGAGGAGTTGGTCAAAATTGAGCGAGAACTACGCAGAAGGCTTCCCGTCGGGTGGAGTACGAGCTACCAGAGTCTCGTCCGCGAATTCGTCACCCAGCAAGGATATTCAAGCCATGCACTTGAACGAACTTTGTTCGTGATGGAGAAGAGCGAGATCATTCGTTTCACGGGTCAGGTCAGTACAGTCTTTGTCGTATATCTCAGTGGCTGATTCGTGGAGTAGAAAAAAGTCGTGCACAGGTTTGTTCGCGGTTATGCTCCCGGTGAGTTGCTTGCTGACATTATTGTCTAGAGTGGGCGTTTGAGCTGTCTGTCGTTCATATTGCTTTTCTGTTTTCTCAATTCTGTATACCAGTGTAACATGCGCAAGACATATAGTTTCAAAACTGCATCCAGGAGTTTCTTCGTAAACAACAATGGCTCGAGTGCAGTGCGGGCTGGTAGTAAGGCTGCGAACCCATCGTCAGCCAGATACATGCATTTGGTCCTTGAATTACCTTCATTCTAGTGCTGCTGAGGTAATAAGTGCGCTGCAGAATGCGGCAAGTGGGTCCGCCACCAGGGTTTCGAACCATGCTGCGGAACGTCAAGTCTGACTGCCAGGCTGTCGGCGCTAAGTTCCTTCTTCCCCTCTTCCTAAGTTGAATCTTGACGGCCAGTTCACCGGCGGTCCTTCCCCGCGGTGTGACTTGGTTAAACATTTATATCTGGGCCGTTGATCAAGTATTCGATCCGCGACGGTTTACTCTCATTTACAATACGCATTATTCTCGGAGTCCATGCTGGAGGCTAACGTCCACTACTAACGCCGATAGGTTGCACGCGCGACAGGCCAGTGAGGCTACAGCTTGCTTGCCCGTTGCGGCTCTGAATCCAGGTGAGATAAGGCGTGCTAGTTCAAAGTTCACAAATATATATAGGCCGGTCCACACCATTGTTTTCCGGAAGAAATGACAGGCAACATGAGTTGCATGTCCTGGCAATCATTGGGATTCTTCTGAAAGTGAACGGGACCCTACTCAATTGCTGCCCTTCATAAGGGTTTTGTCGCCCGCCTAGCTCAATCGGATAGAGCGTCAGACTTTTACAGCTCTGTTTCAGGTGGGACGGGTTATCTGAAGGCTGCGAGTTCGACCCTCGCGGTGGGCTATCAATATTTTACTGTATTTTCTACTGTTTTTCCGTTGTACGTTTCTGACCGTCGAGATTTTTCATTGTAAGATTGGTGCATGTGCTGAACCTTTTGATCAACAGAAGGGACTTTACATTTTGATACAGAGTCCGCGACGAATATTATGATATAAACATTGTACAGTAGAAGTCTTCTAAGACGTCGATTTGTTCCAGGTTCGTCGATCCGCTACTTACATAGGTTGTCCATCAAAGAAACGGTTGAGAACATCAGCCGGGGTCTATGCAAGAGGAGGACATTCCCACGTCCATTTGATTGACACATCGCGTCGCGTGCGCGTACATTTCTTTGTCTCACTTTCCTTCTACCTACATCTCACAGCATGCTTGCAGTTCATGCAGCTGCTTCTTTCCTTTTTCCCCTCCAACCGTCCCCTTTCCATAGTTGTTTTAGCTTAGTCCTCTCGTAGCGGCCCGCGTCTGCTGCCATCCGAGGTCGTGCAGTCTTTCTGCCGCTTCTCATGGGTTCCAGCGCGGACTCTGAATCCGCTGTATGCCACGATTTTTTCACCAGACGACGGAAGGCATAGAAGTGATAATGTTGATGAGATGCAAAAAAAAAAAAAAAAAAGCACGAGCGTTGAGATGCAAAAGTGATTATTAGCCCACCGCGAGGGTCGAACTCGCAGCCTTCAGATACCCGCCTATGAAATTGTAAGAGTCTGACGCTCTATCCGATTGAGCTAGGCGGGCACATGAGTAGGCGCGGTTTGCAACAGTCTCAACTTGGTGTCAACCAGTTTCGATTACAATTTACAGCGGAGACGAGTCCGCCATCAAGGGTACACCTGTATCGAGATCGAGACAACAGCGGCCTCAGAGAGGATTAGCGAGTAATTTAAGCCAACCGGTCCAATAAGGGTAATGAGTCATAGATTGAATCCAAAGGCTGAGATACAACGAGGATATCGGGCAAACATCGCTGGGGTTACCGAATGGTCGTCTTGACACGGGAAGATTCCGAATGAGGGTAAAAGTTGCACAGAGTACTGGATGACAAACAGCCGAGGTGCCCGGCGTCTAGAGAGGATTGCCTCGGAGAGTAGAAAGTCACGGATCAGACAAGATTGATGGCTCTTGACTGGCTCTTTTCCGTAGTTGTCACGGTTGCTTGTAGTGCTGGACGAAGCGCTGGACTGAAGTGTCCTCCTGAGAGAGAGAGAGGAGGAGTTTCTGCGTCGAAGCAGGGACAAAGATCACGGATCTGACTCGGATCCGGATTGGATAATGAATGGATATGCAAGTGGGTCCCACAGAACTCTTCAGTAGGTTGGTTATTTGAGGGACGAGAGGGGGTTAGTACTAGTCCTGGTGCCCAGCGGATATAAAGATGATAGTCGGATAACCGTGAACGGTCTGGAACCTGAATTGGAGTATCAGTAGACTCTGTATGGCAAGGTACAGCTGTTTACGAAAAGATAGAGGGGTTTCCAAAAATATTCATGCTCAATTTGTGCTTACCTTTGTTTGACACCGCATCACTCCACAGAGCCTTTCAACGGCGCTCTGCCCCCAAGGATGATCCACTCTGCCTCGTTTCTCCACCAATAAATCTAGTTATGTCCTGTGTTTGTGCTACGCAAGTTGACCGCAACACAGAGAGGTTTCAACTGGAGTGTTTGTGTATGGCCGAATATCGGCCGAAAGCCCCGAAAGGCCGAAACTTGCACTGTACCAGAACTGGTGGTGTCTTATTTTCTAAAAACTGAGTCTTGGTGATGCCTGAGGTGCGGGGCAGAGTCCGGTGGGTGTCGAAGCACCGTGCCAGTGTCGTTGAGTGCCCAGCGAGCAAAATACAGGAGCAAGCAAGGGTAAACACAAATCGAATGTGCATATTTTTGGAAACCCCTCTATCTTTTCGTAAACAGCTGTATTATGACGGCCGCAAGAATTCCGCTCCAGTGAGATGCTGCACCAGAATTGCGCGTTGAACATGATGCAACCACGTAGGTTTGTTCATTTGTTGCAATGTTGAGTGGACGATCAGTGGAACTGTTACCTAGTGAAACATGGCCCTGCCACAGGTGGTTACCGCGCAGTCGAGACGAGGGGAAGGTATAGTCGTAGATAAAGCGTTGGAGATCAAGACCTCAGAGTCAAGTTGGCGTCGTTAGTCGTTTGAGCCTTGTTTGAGCCTGGTCGGAATATAAGTACTTGAAGCTACTTCGTCGTTGCGGCGTAAGATGACCGAGTAGGTTGAGGCTGTACCAAGGCTGTGCAGTGACGCGCAGCAACCCATTTCTGTCCTTCACCCCCACCTCAGCTGTGACTCCAAGTCTACACCATGTCAAACCCCCAGGCCACGCCATATCCTCCCAGCACTGTGTTCGATGAGTTCACTGCGGACTACAACAAGCAGCTGGACTTCGTGTCCTTCCAAAACCCCTCTGACATCCTCGCCCCCCATCCCGATCTCTTCGAACTCGAGCTTGACACTTCTCTTGCTGGTTTTGACGACAATGAGCTTCAGCTGCTGACTATCGACTCCCACGACGCATACACACTCTTCCGGTCGGACACGCCCACTCGTGGCCCCCCTTCGAACATAACTGCCTCGTCCGAGTCTGCCTATGACTCCCTTTCGTCATACTCCGAGTCGTTCTATAACTACCCTCACTCTCCCCACCCTCCTTCCAACTATTCCTTCCCTCTTGACCTGGAGATGGATTTCCAGCGCATACGTGTCGATGCCGCATCAGAATATGCCGCAGCTCAGACGGGCTCTGATGGCGCAGCAGATCGTATTACCTTCGGTGCCACCGCGGCGCCTGACATCTCCCGCAGCAGCAAGGCGTATACAAAAGGGTACGGACACCGTACCACCTTTTCAGACTACGGTCCCTCCACCAGACGACCATCCATCCCTGTCGATTTGTACAATCAACTCAACTTCAACGTCCAGTCTATCGCCGGCCCAACTGTTTCGCCCTCCCACATCTCCACCCAGCTCCCCACCATCCCAGACGATCAGATGGCTCACGTCCCGGAGGAGGAAGACTACAAAGGTGGCGATTCGCGTAAGAAATACAGATGCTCTGCGTGTCCAAGAGGTATATGGCTCCTTCGCATCATATGACCCGCCCCTGACATTTTGTAGCGTTCGCCAGAGCATATAATCTCAAAACACACATGGCCACACACGACCCCAACAGGCTCAAGCCCCATGTCTGCCCCCACCGGTCGTGTGGGCGCTCGTTCAGCCGCAAACACGATCTCGGGCGTCATCTTATTAGCATTCATCGGGACGAGTCCCAGCGCGAGGGCTCTGTCTGCTCCTCCCACCATTCAGTGGGCTCGAAGCATTCCATTGGTGTGGAACAAGGAGCGCGCAGGTGGTGCGAGCGCTGCGGAAAAGGTCTTGTTGGACACGCAGCCGACTGCGACTGCAGCTAGATCAGACCCTTATCGTTCCTCGCAATCCTTTTCGTGTGAGATTCTTGTTCGGGCGCTTTCCCGCAGTTCGCTGACTTCGACCCACAGAGCGCCTTACGTCACCCGCAGTTTCTGGCCCGCATGCGCTCTTTGCTCAACCCAGATTCTGTGTCCCTTCCTGCGTCATTCGGCGTGTCGCGTATCGTACCGCCCTGTCTTAGTGCTTGGCCCCGCGACGAACGTGATCCCGATATGAATTTTCTTATCTTCCGTCTGCGCGTCTGCTTCGCTCGACAAGTTGATATAAATACTTAGTATCACAAATCTCTCTATATTCTTCATGTTGTTGCTTCTATATTTATCATATATCTGACGCTCCGCTTCCACTGTATGTCTGTACTTGACCTAATGATTCTGTTCCCAATGAGTGATCCTGACTTCAAGTCTCAACAAAACGTCTGATCCTGCTCCATCGGGTGTGTTTTCGTCGTGTGATGTCACGCGCGCAGTCACGCATGGATGTCAACGACCTACACCCTACGGACGACTACAGCCACCGGTTCTTTATCTGGCATGAATGGATACAGGTGGGCACATGGAATCACCGATACTCAATATGCTCAGACGCGAGCATAGGCGAATGGACCGCTAACCGCCGAGAATGTGTTTGAATACTTCGCCACATCCATGTTCTACGACAAGCAAAGTAACAACCAAGTGTTGAGGATGCAAACAATGCATACAGGAACAGCCATTGCAAACGAGGCCGAGGAATTGAGGCAGGCCTATGAACACTTCTCAGTTGTGAGGAAGTTTGACGTGAGGAGCAGACGGTTCACCGGAGTCGAGTTTGCCGTCGTACATGCTCAACCTCCATCCATGTTCATCATCCACAAACGCGACCGAATTTCTCCCGAAGAAGGTATGTTTTGGATCGCCCTTCTTTAACTGTTCTCATAATAACAAGTCCGTCCGTTATCTGCATATTTTATAATGAACAACAGGATCTACCAGTCACCTGATGTTTATACTGTCCTTTCGAATAGGCTGGTGCGCTTTGTTCATACAGCCAGATCTGCTTATTGCCAACACAATTTCCGGCCAGTTGACATCTCTTTACTCACTGCAGTCCTCGCTGGATTCTTTACGAACTCGACGTCCTGACTATATACCTCGAACGGGATTCGTATGGCCTATCGTCGACGCTGCAACACCACCGACAGATGAACTCAAGAAGAAGGCTCCGGGAGAAGACGGAGGCTCGGAAAGCCGAGGGGTATCGGAGGCTCCTGAAAGTAAGCCCAAGGTCCCGCAAAGGTGAAAACAGGTTTCGTCTTGGCTCAAGATTGGAGCTGAGTCGCTGCAGGCAGAAGAACAATTTGCTGTTGATGAACGCGATGCGTGCTACAGCCCTGCATTCCAAGACCGCATTCTCGGCTAGTGTCCTTGAAACCAACACTGAGATGATTGTCGAAGAGACTCCAGCAACGCAAGGCGTCCGGACTTCCGCTACCCCGGCGCCTGCTCCAGCAACAGCGAAAACGCCTGCAGCGCCCCAAGTGCCTCAAGAACCCCCCTCTCGAGCG